GACTTTTCAGCAATCCTGATAAATATAATAAATACATAGAAATATAGAAAAAATAAAATACAAAATTTCATAAAACTTAAAAATAATCGATTAATAATAAAAAGAGATTTCAAATCAATTCCCAATCTTAACAAAAACCCGACAACTTTCAATATCCCAACATTCCCAATATTCATAATAATGTTTATCGTTTTCTAAGAAACCAAAAAAGTGATCGATAACATAAAATGAACTCGAAATCAGATCGCATCGGGTTCAGGGCATAGACGGATCGAAAACAAAATAGAATGAAAACATTGGCGCTATAATCTAAAGTTTAGACAGTCTCTTACTAGTGATCGGGCCACACCAAGCAGCTGCTGTGAGGACCCTGCCTGGAAATACGATTATAGAAGAGGTTAAACACTTAAAGGACTAGAGCAGGCATTTGTGGAATGAGCGATATACAGATGTGAGATAGATGTTTCGTGAACGGCAAAGCAAACTAATTTCAATTTGAGAATTGCAGAGTGAGGCTGGTGGCGAGGTGAATAGTGATGGCAGGTGGCATGTGGCAGGTGTGGTGAATAAGGTGAATACCAAATTAAAAAATCTCTTGGAATGACAGTGCAGGAAATTAAAATATTCGATTGGCAAATTTGAGTTGATTGAATTATTTCCGAACAAAAATTGATCGATTCGTGTGTTGAAGCTCGCATCGAGCTCGAGATTTTTCTCGTTTTCGTTTGCTGTGCTGGAGCATAATTTGCTAACCTTGTGTGGGGTATTTCGCAGATGGAAATTTTGTGATTTTGCTTGCATTGTTTTGCGATTATCGATTATCGATTTTGTAATTTTGTTGTTTATATTTTGACTTTTCTTTTTGGTTTTTTCTTTTTTTTTCTTTTTGCTGTGAGGCGATAGATGATTGCGATTTTGATTTGGATTTGATTGTACAATTTTTGATTGCTCGATTTGGATCGATAATTATCGATATTGAATTCGACTGGTGCAAAGGTGAGTTTAGCGTTTTTTGTACCAACAAAAAAATGAGTTGAGCTTTGATAAATTTGATTTGATTTTGCTTTTCGTGCGTGAGTGTTTTTTTGTTTTGCGATTATCGATTTTCGATTTGCGATTGCGATTGCGATTGCGATTGCGATTGCGATTAGTGGATTGAAAGTTTAGAACTTCTCCGATATGCTATAGATGCGCTTAACGCTCACGCACTTGCGTCGCAGGCGTTCGCATTCGATTTCACGAAAATCGGCGTGCGAACTGGAACTGGAACTAGTCGCCAGGCAGTGGTTCGGCTCGCCACTCGCCGCTGTCAGCCCGATCCCTCCGATGCCAATGTCGTCGATGGCGATGTGATGGATCCGCGGCAGCTGCGATGCGGCGCAGATGTTGGGCTCGCTGTTGGCGCCGCCGGCGTGGCAATCCGTAGCGTGGCTGCCGAGTGGATCCTGGTCGAGCACTTGCTGTTGGAGCTTGTGGTGCTGTTGCTCTGCCTCGTCGTACTGCTGCTGCACTTCCTCCTCAACGCACTGTGGACAAATTGTCTCCTGTTGCGGCTCCTGTTCGTCGTCCTCCTCTGTGTCGTCCTCGTCCTCCTCCGACTCAGCTTGCTCCCGCTCCTGCTCCGCCTCGTCCTCCTCCTCGTTCACGTCGATGTGGCAACGCCTCCTGCTCGTCCGACGCGTCGTCGCCGTCGTCGCCGCCTGCGTGCTGATTATGGCACGCTTCAGCTCCAGGAAGAGCGGCGCCGCCGGCAGCAACGGCACCAGCTGCGGCTGGCAATCGAACAGCCCCAAACTGGCCGCCGACTCACCCGCGGGCAGCGGCTGTGTGGTGACGACCGTGTGTGGCGAGCCGTGGGCCCCGAGCACGCCGTGTGCACTGCCCTCCGGGTGGATGCGATTATCGGAATTGGTGGCGGAGAATTTCGAGAGCAGCGACTTTGAGCTGGCCTTGTTCTTCAGCTGCTGCTGCTGCAGGTAGTAGTAGTCGCGTGGCAGCGACGAGGTGGCATGCAACGGATCCTCCGGATCGTAATAGCCCAGTGCGGCCGGACGGAACAGTCCGGGCGTGCTCAACGAATGTGGCTGCTGCGATTGAGATTGAGATTGCGATTGCGATTGAGATTGCGACTGCTCCTGCTCGTAGGAGTCACTGATGACGCTCGCTGTGGAGGCGGTGGGCGTGCTGCTGAGCGTCGACTGAGAGCCAGCGGCAGCGGCAGCTGCAGCAGCTGCGAATTGGGCGCCCAGCAGGGGCGTGAGGCCGGCCAGAAATTGTTCCTGCTGCTGCTGCTGGCGCTGTTCGTCGAGTTCGCGGCGATAGGCCTCGATCTGGTCGCTCGGTGAGGGCGTGTTGCTATGGATGCAGCCTTGAAAGAAATCCAATGCTTCGTACAGGATAAAACACAGGCCCAGGACAAGAAATGTCTCCATCATAAGGAACAAACAGCCATTGGAAGTGCAGCCGGCGAACGAAACGGAACGGAACGGAAACGCGAAACGGAACGAAACGGAACGAAACTGAACGGAACGGAACGAAACGAAATGGAATGTGAGACGCGCGAGAGCCGTTGACCGTTACAGCTTGAACCGCGACGAAAACGTTTTGGCTTTCGCTTTGCTCTCCTCGCGTTTGCCTTTTGTTGCTGTTCCTTTTGTGTCTCTGTGTTGGTGTGAGGGTGTGTGTGTGTGTGTGTGTGTATGCGGTGTTTTTTTTCGCGCTTATTGTTTTACTTGATTCTTTTTACACTTCATTTTGTTTTGACTTCACATTTTCGACTTTTTGCTTCGTTGTTTTGCTCATCGGGTTTTCCTTTGTTATGCAACACTTAAATCAATTTCGAATTCGAATTCGAATCGGAGTTGTTTTCGCTGTTGGCTTTTGTGCGTTTATTTATTTGCATAATTTAAAAGCTGTTTAATATATAGATATATATA